GTAAGATAACCCTACCACTTGTACTTGCCCGGATGCGGCCTCTTGCTGAATCAGGGTGCTATCCATGTCGAAGACGACAAGGCCTGAGAAACATCAGCGAGAAGCTTGACATGCTCGAAAAGTTGCAAGGCATCGTTGAGAATCATGGAATGCAGTCTGTGCCAACGCAAGGGGTGCCATTCAACACCACAAATACTCTCACGGAATCAAAGCAAGCTAGCGCAGCAAAGACACGTCGCATCCAGCGCTCTAGATCGTCCCGCTGTATGGCAATGTCCTTAGCGAGGAGCCACCATATCATAGGAACATCTTCCCATCCTTCCATAGTTATAAAATGAAAACGGTCAAACCTTGCGGAACCTTTTCGTGCAGACTCCCATATTCTGCTGGCTGCTCGAGCAGTGCTCTGTTGGTCTGTCCCTTTGAGCCTAAGGTTCATACCACTTTGTAGTAACTGAGGTCAGCAACTGGGCTTAGTTATTCCGAGCACAAGTCTTTCTAATGAACGGCAAAGTTCTGCACCTTGACGCTTTGACACATCCACCTTAGATGTCCGACCACAGTTACTCTGTCGGCGAAACATTGCAGAACCATCAAGCTCTCCTCCTGTCTTGCGAATGTTTGCCGACGAGCAACCAAATGCCGGGAGAACTCATCTGATGACAGGCTGTCGGGCAAACTCACCTGTTTCGGGGTGTCTACACATCTGGCTGCTACATGTCTGTGCTTCTTTCAAAATGTGCTCGCTTCCAGTCTGTGCCGTCTCGTTGCGGTGAACTGGAGTGAGGCGATGTCACGACTGCTCAGTCCTGGGTTGCAGAAGTATCGCGTAAAGTTTTTTGATATTCGTCGTGTTGCTGCAAGAGTGCTGCAAGCATGTTGGGAATGGGTTGCTATGGGTCAAGAATGTGCAAATTTGACCAAAGAAAGAAAGGCGGCGCTCTATTTTGATGATATTGATGCCCTTGGAGCCGAAAACACTCATCACCTGCAAGCGAGCTCGATAGGCGGCCACTTGAATATGCCAGCGTATCATCCCTGTGACATGGGTAGCTCTGCAGTGGCTCCGCTCAGTAATTGTAATCATAGATGCAATATTTCGACACTAAAGATTACTGGATATCACTGGAGTTGTCTGTGTTGTGTCTGCGGCCAAGTGGCTTCGCTCAACGAAGTGCTGCTGATGTTCGGCTTCTGTACCAAGGTCACAACCTTGGCCACTGAGCTCTGACGGTGATCCAACAAAAAACAGTACAACGACTGCTGGCCCTTGACCCTGGTCGCACATGTGAGGCGAGAGGCGTATCGATTCTGATACCGAAGCTGCCAGTTAAAGTCCTTTGCCGAATCGTTGACATCCATGATGGCAAATCCTTCCTGGCCGCGCTTATCATGGCAAACAGTTGCAGCTCTTCCATTCTTGTCATACTGTCTCACGCTGCCTGTTTGGTCCTGCAGGAAATGTTGCTCATGTTGCTTCAGCTTTCCCTACATCGGCGGATACCTTGTTCAGGAGCATCTCCAATCAAGAGCAGGACGACATCATGCGCCATGGACCCCGGGTCAAGCATTTAGCAGGGCTTTGGGAGTTGGTTGGAAAGCGATTCGCGCACCAAAAGGGTGGATTCGCGTACTACGCAAAACACGGGATTCGCGCACCGCTCCCGGCGGATTCGCGCACCAAAGATTCGCGCACCTAGGACCGATTCGTGCACCAAAGAAACGCTGGCTCGCGCACCAAGCGGACAGATTCGCGCAGCAAAACAGCTGCTTGGCGCACCAACACTACGAGACTCGCGCGCAGGGCCTGGGCCGGCGTGCACGACGCCGACTCGCGAGAAACGGTCCTGAGGTGTCCTTGGGCATGCAGCCCCGGAGCCCTGGATCGGTTTGTCAGCTACGCGAACTGCGGCTTTGATTTGCTGATTTCTTCTTTTCAAACAATAGGTCTTCCACCCACGAGCTTCCGCGAAGCTTCGGCGAAGATGAGAGCGGCTCATTTTGGTCGGTGTTTCAACGCATCTTGCTTAAGCTTTTTTGGCAGGTGCGATGCTTCCGCGAACAGCGTATCTAGTCTACCGGGATAGTGGGTGCGTGGTGAGAAGCACATCTCGGACAACATCCCGGGATTTATTTCCGTGGTTAGAAGTGTTGCTAGACAAGTGCAGATTCTGGGTTTGGGGTTGAGGAGATGAGATCGTTTCCTAGGGCAACCAATAGCCCGGAGTAGGTGCAGCCTTTTGCGCCTGGCCCACACACAAGGCTCCCATATAACCAACCCTGAAGCCTAAACCCTGCGCTCTAAACCAACCCTGAACCCCAAACCCTAAGTCCTAAACCCTGAACCCTAAACCCTTCACCCTTAATGCTGAACCCAAAACCCTCAGCCCTAAACCAACCCTGAACCCAAAACCCTAAACCCTAAGCCTTAACCCAACCCTGAACCCCAAACCCTAAAGCCTAAACCCTAAGAAAGCCCTAAGCCCTAATCCAGCCCGTCAGCCCTAAACCAACCCAACCCTAAACCCTAAGCCTGAAACCCTGAACCCAAAACCCTAAACTAACCCTGAACCCTAAACCCTAAGTCCTAAACCCTGAACCCTAAACCCTGAGCCCTAAACCCTCAGGCCTAAGCCAAAAAACCAACCCTGAACCCTGAATCCCAAGCCCTGAAGCCTCTTTTAGCTTGGTGCAAAAGTCAGATCCTTCTGGCGCAGGAGTGGGCAGCTTTTGGTGCTTGAATCGGCTGCTTTTGGTGCATTCATCGGCCTTTTGTGGTGCTTGAATCGGTCTTGCGCAGTGCGTAAATCGTTGGTGCTTGAATCGTAGTGCGTGAATTTGGGGTTGGTACGTGAATCGTGCTTTTTTCGTTTGGCAGTTGGGGTGGAAGGGTTTGGTCACTTCGCGTGATGTGTTCTCAGACCTGCACAGCGAATGAGCAGACATGGCAGATATGAGCCGTGCGCAGAGTTTGCGAAACAGTCCTTCTGGCAAGTGTACACCAGCTCCTTGACAACAGCATCAGGATGGTCCTGCCCGAGCAGTGCTCTGTCTTCTGACGGATGCAAGAGGCTCCGCATGCTCCACGTTGCCTTCTGAACGGTCAAGTCCAGCCCTAGGCACATGCCGCCATCCTCGCACAGTGGAAGTGTCAAGCGGCCTACAAGTTTGATTCATATGTCAGTGCGATGATGATTGATGATGTGTGATAGGCGCACTCTGTTGGTCTCCATCGCAAATGATCAAACGATCGCCTGGCCTGCAAGCTGCACTGCCGGACGGTCGTAAGCTGTACGTCTTGTCCTGGTTGCAGAGAGAAACGAGCTTCTGTGACACTCAGAAGACATGACATAGTTCGAGATCTATAGGACCTGAGGCATTCTACACACAAATCAAAGCAGGTCGGAGCGGCGCAGAGGTGCTAGCGGATGGAAGATCCTCTGCAGCTGTCCAGAGCTCCGGTTCTGAGCACTGACCTGACGGGGCACAGAAATGGCAAGCCAGGCGATGGCCTGTCCACAGGAACCACGTCCAACGCAGTGCGGTCAATCTGACAAGCCCTGTCAAAGCAGAAGGTCCCTTTCAGGTACAAAGGCACAAGCATGTAGTATGGGCAGCCCCCGATCCCCTGTCAGATGGTATGGGAGCTTGCGCGGGCTTTGTCCAGGCTCCCTGGCCCGCCTCCCAGCCATCCATTTCGAACGTTTGGGCGCGCTTTCACATTCCCCGACTTCAGTTCTGGCTGTCATTGTCACACCACTCTACTCACCCAATGCCCTATGCCCTATGCCCTGCACTGTAATGAAGCAGCAAAGAATCACAATTCGCCCTTACTTGCCTGCACCATGAAGCGTTTGCTCGCTGGCGTTGGAGGCACAGCTGAGCCAGACGGCTCCTGCAGCGCAGTAGCTGCAGCGCAGCCTAGATCTGCCTGTGATCTGTGAATCCACTCCATAGACTTACATCTTCTTACATGCGTCGTGCTCTTGGATCCCAAGCGTATGCAATCTGGTCTTATGGCAAGTCTCGCCGAACACAAGATCAACTGTGCCAGGTGCTACTTCAAAAGGCTGCTGACGCTATCTGAAGCTGCTCCGGCATTCCAGGCCCGTCATCCCAGCGCCTTTTCCTTACAGAGCAGGTGCGCGCCAGACTATGTGGATCAGACGCGCCGAATGCACAAAGGAGGCAACCCGCAAAGCAAATGGATGTTGAACTGGGATGGCACCAACCGTGAGCAATCTTGCCCAGTGTCCGCAGGGCCCTTACATCAGAGCCGCTGAAGCCAAGCAGGTAGAGGACAATGGTGAGGTCTGGCATCCTGGAGCACGATGCTTGAAAATCGACCGGGAGTAGACAAAGACTGACCGGATGACCAGCTCACATGCAGCAAGTCCTGTGATCTATGACGCAATGCGAGCCGATAAGACTGATAAGACATGCCAAGCCCAAATACAGACAGCCCCCTGCTGGATACCATGCCATACCACGCAAGGTCAGGGGCTTTGTGGAGTTGAAGAAGACGAATGGTCCAAACGTCTCCAGCATCAGCCGCGCATTCGCAGCCTGCCACTTTCATGCAAGACTCGCTCACTGATTTGCCATGTGCACTACCGCGCCGCGCAGTGAGGAAGAACTTCTGGAGGCCTTCAGTCCTGTGAGTGGCTCTCCCACAGTGATCACATTTCGGTAGTCGACACCTGAAACGAACTTGAGGTCAGACTGCTTGCCAGGCTTGTCCTTGTGCATATCAGGGCCTTCTCTCTCTGCCATCAGCTTCAGCAGGTCCGCTTTGCGGAACTTCACATCCGAGAGCTCCCCCATGTACCTGCTTTGCTAAGCATAAACATTCCTGCCTGAACTTTCTACAAAGACAGCCTTGCTGGCCTTCTAGGCTCTTAAACTTTAAGCAGCATGCGCAAGTCGGTGACAAACATCTCAAGGCCTGCCAGTAAAGCAGCCATCCTCAACCTCAACATCACGGCAAATCCTGAGTACACTGCATAGGCCGAGCGGCATGCAATCTACAAGATCTCCAAACGATGCCATTGGTGCTCGTGCTGAGAACTGCACAAAGAAGTCTGTTCTGACTGAAACATTCAAGGACTGCTCGGCTTTGAAGCTTTTGAAGACGAGACTCACATAATCAAAGCCAAGCTGGCTCTTGACATGCTCCGCGACTTCTCGCATGCCTCTAGGTTTACAGCATAACTGGTGACATTGAGTGAAACCAGACATCTGGTCAGGCTTGCCAAGACGGACCAACAAATCTTTGAGAGATGCAGCGCTTGCAGCGACCCTCTGCAACCGGCACCTGTGTTTGTAAGGATGGCGAGCCGGCATCCTAGGCGCTTCATGGCCGAGCAAACCACCTGCAACAGAACATCCCGAACATGAACTTGACTCGCAACTGGACGAAGGACAAACATGGAGGAAAGCCTCAGCCCCCGCCCAGCTTGGCCTTGGCGCCCGGAGTGAAAGCCAACTGATCTATGACCTTGCGCACCAGTTGAGTGCTGTGGCCTGCCAGCTTGCAATCGGGTTTGACATGTATGGCTGTGAACCCTTCATGAAGACCTCCCATGTGTAACACGCTCAGCCCGCAAAACACGGCAGGTGGCCAGTAAAGTACAAAACAAGAAACGCCAGCTGGAGGCTCACACGTGGCCTTTCAGCATCGCGAGCTTTGCAGATTCCTCCGCACCTTGTGTCATTCTTGACTGCATTCCGCTGCTGTTGAAAGATATTAGGAGTCTACATCTGCACGGAAGTTGTGTGCATGACCATCATCACCCATGGCCCTAGTGCTCCACTAGCTTAATGCGAAGTTGGCTGCATAGCATCCCGGCCTGGCTGAGACGACTCCGACTTCACTGACGCGGGATCGACCCCAGCCTGCATTGAAGGTCTCAAAAAGGGCAGCAGACCAAAACAAGAAAGAATCCGTCTTGAATCTCCTGAGTTGCAAGATTCAATGTCATTCCTTCCAGACCCTGGTCACACCTGCGGGGATTAGCTCAGGGGAGGGAGCGTGCAATTTCTCTTCAAACGGAGTGGGTTCTGAATTCGCCTTGGCCTCTGGCCATCCCTGGCCGACAGAGGTCTGGAACGAACGGACCAGGGACGTCGCGGCGGACGTGCTAGTGGCTAGCGTTTACCATTAGCCAGAGAGCGGAAGTCCTCATCCTGATAAGCAAGCTGCATTTTTACTGATTGACGCTTGTGAGAGCCTGCCAGCTTGCAGTGTTGGGCGGGCCCATGTCAATCTTGCAATGCCCAAGCCCTAGCCATGAGGCCTCCCGAAGTACGAGATCCAGCACATCATCCGGGCCTCTGTGAAAGTCTGATGACGTGGGCTCCTTGCTCTGGCATTTCAGCCTGATGCTCGGTCAAATGAAGTCAAGGCACAGAGGACATTGGACAGGCCGAAGACGACAAGCGACTTGCCGTTTGGCCTGCCCCAGTTGAGTTCACAAGGATGCCTTGCACAACAGGAAAAGGCGTTCGCACTGGGCCTGTTCATGGCGTCCCACCAGCGTGCAGTGACTTCGCCGCCATGCTCCCAGGCCACCTGCGGCTGCTCGGCTACGCGAAATCCTTGAAAAGTGTGTGCATGTCTGTGTTTTGCTCTGCAAAGGCCTTTTGCAAGCCTTCCACTTCGCCGCCCGCAGGTCCCATCATCAGCGAGGCAAGCCTACAAATGACAAGACAAGAAAACACAGCCTCTCACTTCCCTTTCAGAAAACACCCTCTGCTTTTGAAGCGTCAGCCTCTTGATGCCCCTTTGCCCCTTGCGCGCCTGAGACCCACTGGACACCGGATGCGAATCTGGACTTTGTTGTACTCGTTGTTGTGCTCCTAGCAACTCTGCCGCAGCTGGCACGCCCTGACTGCATCACGTACAGAGCCCCGCGACTTCACCAAAAAAGAACTGCTTCATGCCGTGGATGTGTAGAAGTAACAGATTCGATTGGCGGCAACTATTCAGCGAGCTTGGATGGTGTGTGTGCGTGTTTGCTGGTCTGAAGAGCAGGTCTGCATGCATGCGACTTCCAGTCGCATAGCTTCAGGAGCAAAAACATGCCTGCTGCGCTGCTCGTCAGGCAGCTCCCCTCCCCCATGCTCTGGCGTCACACAAAAACATGACCCGGAAGATGTTCCGCAGCTACCAGTACCTTCAACAAAAGGCGGCTCCCCGCTTGTCTTGAGACGCATTCTTGTAGTTATGTAAATGATGGATCCGCCAAACCCAACTCCAGCGGGCTTCTTGACATTACATGAGCAGTCAGCATGGACGGAGCAAGATTCATCAAACAACCGTGGGCATGCACAGGCTACTACAGCGAGAAGCCAACCTTTTCTGGTGACATCTGCAGTCGTGCTCCCACAATGATGCTGACCACCCAGCTCGATCCCAGTAGGCTTTTAATGCCTGATTGGCATGACGCATCAATCCCAAAACGCCCCACGACCTAGGACCGGGGCTCATGAGCCCACCATGCAGGCTTCACATTGAATAGGTGGTAATTTATACGTGTGCCGCGTGAGGCAATCGCAAGACGAACACTGTTGTGACAGAACACAACTGACGCAGGACAAAAACTACGTTCAGCCCTTTCGCTGTGGGCTGCTACGTAATTAGTGTATCCATATTCTGTGCAGTTTGCTGCTGAACTCTGGATTACGTTTCATTTAAGTCCATGCGTATCCCGGTGCCGACTCTGTCTGCAGGCGCATTCATGCATTGGCAAATTAACCTCATTCCTTCTTGAAGGTGATGTTAGTGATGTTTGACTCTTGCTTCCGCGTTCAAACAGGACGGCGTCTACAGTCAGGCTGTGTAGTGATCATCTGTTGAACCGTACCAGCAGATCCTCATTTTCAGCCAGTTGCCCAAAGCTTTTGGCGTGAAGACTCAATATAGTTCACAACTTTCGGGGCTGAAATCCCCAATGTCAAAAAAACACAAACACAATGCCAACACCGGGCAGCAATTTCGTTCCACTGATACTACGCACGGTCAGTCCAGCTAGAAATCGCTGTAGTCCCTGCCTAGTACTATGCTACAAGTACTCTAGACCATCCCGCAGGGCGGTACCGATCGACCCATAAAAAGGGACACGGCAAGATGTAAATCAGCCGGCACGAGTACACTGACTTAACAAACAGCAAAAACGCGAAGAAGATACGTAACTTGACAGCAGCGCCAACAAAAGCTAGAATACGACGGATGGTCGAGACTGGAAGCAACGCCAACCGTCCTCTTCTGTTTCTACTGGCTGCGGAACCGTAATCGCTTGCCGCTTGCAGTGTCAATGATCACTGGTCTGAAAGATCCTGCATTACTGGGGGGATGTTGGGGCATTTTTGAGGTTTCAGACGCGTTCGATGCCGAATTAATCTGTGTCACTTTTGCTGGCAACGGCAGCCAAAACGCAGCCCATGAACAGTGCATAACAGTGCAGCCCCTAACAGTGCCAGAACTGTGTGCCTGCTGCTTCCGGCCACTTATGCAACATCTGATCCTGTTGCCTTCAAACACAGGTTCATGAGGGACATAGGTGACCAAGTTTGAAAATACCAACCTCCAGTCAACTCCAACGCCTGGAGCAATTGAAGAGCCGCATCGCATTATTGAAACCCTTTGTGGCCCTTTGCCTTAGAAAAGTTCCGAGGCCTTTGCCATCAACATGCTGTTTGCGCATGCTGTTGGAGCTGTCAGGTTTGGTTGAGATTTGCTTGCCTCCAGTAAAAGACTTCATAAGTTGAAGTTCCGATCTTGCCCCGGCTGTTGGTAAACGCGGCAATCCCACGATGTAGCTGCAGTTGAAGGGTGTGATCTTGGAGTGTGTCGCTTCGCATCAGAGTGCTGATGCTGTTGTTGAGAGGTGGCAGTACATTGCCAATCAACCAGCTCACAACGCTGCTAGCGAGGTTGCCCATCACTGAGCCTGCGCTGCCTTGCTTGACATTAGGGTTTTGATTCTTGAGGTGCACTACCGTGAGTGCCGCCAAGTTCAGGAAGCTCATCTTGCCAGATATGCATTCGGGCATTGTAGGATGGACAGTCAAGGCGCCCCAAGGTTCATGGCCCTGGTCCCAAACCCCCCACCAGGGCTGACCTCCTTCGTCACTCGCCGCAAACTTGTGCAGCTCACAGTTCCCAGCTGTGCCAGCTGCAGAGAGTCACAGTGCAGAGCATGTAAGCTGTGGCCTTCTCATCAAAAGTGGATTGGAAACGGGTGAGGTTGCTCCAGGTTTTAGTTGGTCGCTAGAGGACGTTGATTGAAGGGATTTTGTTTATGTTGAGGCCGCTTGTCTATGAAAACCAACCACGCTGTCATTAGACATCCTGAATTCCAGTTGGATTGCTTTTCGACTGCTGTATTTGCATCCCTCGGCGCGAAAACAAATTATAGAGTAGACTTCTGCTCGGGGAATCCCTACGTCTCTTTCGGGCTCCTCTATGCCTTTCCCATCATTTCCAACTACCAATAATAAAGAACAACTGCTGAGATCAATGTTTTTCTTGTGAGCCTGGGAAACCGTGAGCAAAGATGATTCCGCATGAGGGCATGATTCCGCTTACGGCCCATAACTCTCTTGCAACAAACCAGCCATTCATTGTTCACATCCTCCCAGTGATTCACTTTAATGTACCCTTTCAAACGCAGCTCGACAATTTCATCTGCCTAGATTTCTCCAGTGACAGACTGCAAACTGTAAAGATAACCCACCCTAAGGGCATGACGAACTTGACAACCTGTCGCAACAAATCCACGAGGCCCACAGATGGGGAGGAGGCGGGCCTTCAGGTTTTCGCGGCCGGGAGCGCGGCAACCCCCCCTCAACCTTGTTTTGAAAGTCTCTGGCAACAGCCTGATTCTGCAAAGCGTTTGAGGTGGGGGAATGGCCACCGCGGCTTTTCAACTGGAATTGCTTCCTCTGATAGCAAGGCGCATACATCCTCTGCCACTGCAGATGAACGATGACTGGTCCGACAAATGATGAAATGTAAGGGGTATATCAATTGACGGATGCTTCTTGAATCCTTTTCAAGGCTATGCTTGTCAAAGTAGGAACTCAGAAGATATCAGGAGATCGGACTTTAAAATGTTGCTATCATTCATGTTCTAGAAACGCTTGTATTCATTCCTGGGCAAGACGCCTTGAGAAGCCGTTAGAGTGTAGAACATCTAGGTAACTCCTGCTCAAATATACATTCTGATTCTGCATAATGTCCCTTGCTCCCTCCTTACACCCCTGATTCAGTATTCACATCCACTTCAATCATGTTTGATCTTTAGAAGTGCTCTTGCTCCTTCAAACGCAGTTTCAGAAATTGGTCCCTCCAGATTCCAATGGCCAGGAAGAGTGAAAACTAAACCCTTATGGCACGAAATGGCATAACAAACTTGACATGTCGCAACACTTTCAACAAATCCAGCGGTCCAAAAATTGGAGACTGGCGCCCTGACAAGTCACATTGTATCATAGATATGTCGCTATTATTAAGTAAAGATGCACATCAAGCATTTCGGGTGGGCGGGGCCCGCCCAGGCACAAACCTCCGAATCTCTGATATATCAGACCAGTTTTGGCCCAAAAGCCTATGGTTTAAACAAGAGCTCCCGCAAGTACCAGCAAGGTAGCTTTGCATTCAACTCATTTCAGGCTGCCACAACCTACAACAGCATGGCCTCTGCAAACTGACCCACTTCTGCCTCTTGGTTCCATCTCAAATCCTACGGCAGCCGATTCCTCCAATTCTACACAGCCCTCAATTCTCAAGCATAGGGACTGTGAAGCTGCAGATCGACGCCGCCACCGCCGCCGCCGCAACTGCCACCACCACCACCACCACCACCACCACCAGCACCACCAGCACCACCAGCACCACCAGCACCACCAGCACCACCAGCACCACCAGCACCACCAGCACCAGCAAAAGAACCAGCACCAGCACCAGCACCAGCACCAGCACCAGCACCACCACAACAGCAGGATGAGTGAGACAGGCAAGCAAAGTGAGGATGAATCAAGGATTAAAAGTTTTTGTCGGAAACGTCAACACATGTCAACATGCTGTCGGTGCAATGCCAATGCCTTCATGTTGTCACTGCGGTGCTCGATTTCAAGCACCACGCAGCCATGGCCCCACAACACCTTCAAAATGCTTGCAAGGGCGAACATACTCCTGCACAGCTCGTCTGCCTTGTCAATGTCGAACATCAACCTCGGGAAGTGGTTCACTGCAACTGCTGCCCTGGTCTTGGAAGACCTTGTATTAGCTGACATTGTAGCTGCTGAAGCAGAATGCAGTATTCGGCGAGTCCTGCTCTATCTAACATGACATCCACTTCGACAGGGCTGGTTTGCTGGGATATTTGGAGCATCTGCCGAAATATTGTGGACCGCGTGATACCGCACACAGCTACATAAGGCCGCAAAGGCTGACCTTCCATGAAAGCATCCCATCTTGCATCAGTGCTAGCTTTTACAAACATGCGCAAACCCAAAAAAGACCCTCCGCTGCCCAGCAGATCGTGTTAGACAGCACGGATTCGCCTTTGCCAATTTCTGAGATGGTCTGATTGTCTGTTTTCGGCTGGGTTTCTTGAAGATTGTGTGTTGGCGTGGCTTGCACTGTTCAAACGATGCTTGTGCTTAACAAGTAGGAGGAGTGCAATGGTACACCGGCACGAAAAAAAAAAGAGACACATCTCGGCAAGCTATGAAGCCGCCTCTACAGAAAGGATGTTTTGGGATGCCAAGAAACGCAGGCGTAATCATCGATGCTGAAACTACCGAGATGACTGCTTCGTTGCCGCCCTCCGCCTCTGGCACCTTCTCCAAAACAGAATTCAAATACAGAGCAAATCCTGTGACTGCCCTCTTCACTGCAAATACGTCCACATGGGTAGGTTCTGGTTGCCCCCCCCCCTTCAAGGTCTCCCTGTGATGGGTACTGCCTCCCCGGCATCTGGGAAGTGGAAGTTCAGCTGGAGGCCCTGCTCCTGCGATTCATTGCAGTGATGCCTCCTCGTGAGAAATTGCCGTCTGAAAGGATGAAGCACCCCGTCCCTGGCGCAGGATGTGAGGGACTTCATCAAGCCAATGGAACTTTGATCTGCCACCTCCACGCGTATCAATCAGATCAATCAGCAAGGGAGCGCGAGCCGCAAGATGTCGTATCATGTCGCATCATGTTTGAGCAACCTTTGCAAGTATACTGGCGGTCACGCCCTGATTGGGAAACTAAAGCCCTGATTCGGTAAGTAAACACCCTGATTGGGCAGCTAACCGCAGATTTTGGGCTGCAGATTGTTGCAAAAGAATCGTTTACAAATCTAAAGAATGCCTTGCAGTACTTGCAGCAAGCAGCAAAATCTGCCATGTTGCATTGCATCCAAGCTGAGAGGGCGAGCTGAAAACCATGCCGTGCACTGAAAGAAACCATTGGCTGGTCAGGGTTGCATCCGCTTCGTCCAAAATTCAGCTTCTCTAGCCCTTCACCTTCAGCGTTGATTGGATAGTTTTGCTCCTTGACAAACAGGCAGCAGAGCTGGCTCCTGGAAGCTGGTAGTCCAGTGGTCTGTTAGGAGCGCACGAGCACTGACTTTTGATGCCAGCAGGCTGCCTACACTGCAGCACGTAGCTGTAGCCCTGTTCGAACTATAACAAATCACCCTGAGACGAGTGTCAAACTCCTGGGGCTGTTCCAGCTAATCTGGAGATATCTGGAGGCCCGAAGGGGTAAGATGCGTGCAAGCCCTTCGGAAGTAGTGTGAAAACGGCGACCTTCAGCACGAATGTGAACATCAGGCCGCCGCCCAAGAGGAACTGGGCCATGTCAAGGACCTCAGCACACTGCGTTATGTCAGCTTTGCTTGAAGCTGCATCTGGGATCGGGATCATGTCCGATAGGATGATCGACTAGGAAATCTCGTGAGAACCAGCTTGCCTCGCTCTGGTGCTCCACAACTATTCCCAGGAAGGCCTTTCGGATCGGCTCTCGGCATGCAGCATAACAGAGTGGAAGTGTCTTGCCTGGCAAATGCCGGGCTTGTCTGCTCCCCATCCCCTGAAGACGAGGATGTTTCCACCTCAAGCTGGAGCTCAAACCTACCGAAACCCAAACACCAGAATAACATGCATGGCATGAGATACATGCGACATGCAAGATTTTTTGGTGTCTTGTTTCCTTATGTGTTGTTCCATATCTTCTTGCAAAGGTAGGCAGGCAAACCCTGCCGTGGCTGATGTAAGTGATCGGATACGGTAAATCAGGACTGAGCAGGATTCTGTTATTCTACACAGTTACAATGCCGTACAAAGTTCACACTGGGGAAGCTGCTTGACGCAGACATGGGGGCAGCATCAGGCTCCGCCATGGCGAAGCAGAAGCACAGAAGCGCAATGCTTAAGCCAAACGATTGCGTGAGATAGTGAAGTTGCAATGTGCCGTGATGTGCCCAAAGCAGTGCTTACTGAGAATCGGGTGAGGTGGAGGGCAAGACAGTGTCTCACTGACTTCCTGCCAGGAAGCTTCCACAATTCAGGTCTCCTCCGCCCATGCAATCCCAGCCTTTACGACATGGTTTCCATATACAAAGTGCTGTTCGCCAGAAGGCTTCAGCCAAACACGGTACTGGGCCAATCTCGCCTTGGATTGCCATCTGCAGGGCTGACTACAGGCCACGGTCAAACTGCGAGTGCCGCACAAGATAGTCCAACGCCGTGATCAAGAGACGGAACTTCCGGCTATGGGTGAACTGCATGGTTGCACAAGTCTCCTTGTGAACCAAGAACGCTCTTGACCTCACAGGCTTGCCTTGCCGATGCATACCCCCGCGCTCAGGAGCTCCTCGTAGTTGGCGTCTTTGAGGGGATTAGGACAGAACCACACATCCCCAAAGCATAAGCCTTGTCTAGTTGGATGTGCGGGCCCTGGGTGAGACCTGCTGGTGAGCCCTGCGTGTCGTTTCGGACATCATCGTTTTCCCCTTGGGGCTTGGATTAAGTGCAACGCAGAATCAGAGAAACCTGTCGCCACCTTCGCCATCTCTCACGCACGAAGAGGGTGAGCCGTTCTGAGAGACTGAACAGAGGTACTGGCCCTGTCCTTCTTGGGAATGTGCCCAGAATGCTTGAGCACACGTTCGCTCATGTAGAAGACGCGTTCCTGATGCAGGAGCAAACACGAACTCAAAACATCCACCAGCAAAAAAACAACAACACTGCGCTCCTGTAAAGCTTTGTATCTACCCCTCTGGGCCTTCCAGCTATCTAGCAGAAGCTGGGCAGCAACAGGGCAGCATGCAAGAAAGCCCCTCAACATTAAAAGGATCTTCTCTGCGCAAAGCACTGTTTTGATACCCCTTTGCCTTGTGGAGCCGGAAAAGGAAGATTCCATCGGGTCTGTCGACCATTTGCCGCAAATTCTGGCCAATGTACCTCTGAGAAGTTTTGCTGGATGTTATTGTAATCGAGACACAGGAAAGAGCAAGAGAGAGAGAGAGAGAGAGAGGGAGAAAGAGAGCACTCCAAATTGCATCTTCTGATTTTCCACCCAACGTAGGCTCAAGGCCTGGAGGTCTCAGCCATCCAACAGCCTCACATGCCTGTGGATAGCTCTTCCCCCTGTCCACGGGTACTGCTTACTTTGAACTGATCAGGCAACAAGGCAGTCGACCTAAGATGAAAAGCACCGTGCGGTGAATGCTGCCAAGTGAGCTTGCTACATCTATCTGGCCTAGCTGTCGCAAAACAAGTCTCATGCAAAGCTAACGCAAGCTGTCTTTCTGAAGCTCCACCATGTCAGATTCTAACTCTCCTCGTCTTCTAGCAGCTGCGCTCCTAGATGGCACTTCTTCAGCTTCTCGAAGACGAGCCTCCAACACAACATTAGGCAGATCGCATCTTGCAGGAACTGAAAATAGTTTACCGTAGAAGGCTGAATTCAAAAAGACACGCCTTCAGCAAACGCCGTCATGAACGAGGACTGTGACAGCACAGCCCCAAGCTTCAAGCACTAGTTCCCTTGCAGGAAGATAATCAAAGTCATGGCGTGAAAGGCAATTGCAGACTTGGTCAGCGTAAGAGACAGAATGAGACAAAATAATTTGCGCACACCATGCGGATCTTGGGTTCAAATGCTTTTCGGTACGACCAGATCAACGATGGGGATGCCAGGCATTTCCATGAACTTGCTGAGCTGCGCACCTGGTCTCATCGTCAGTCAAAGCTCGCATTTGCCTGAAGGAGTAAACTGTGCAAGCTTGCGCTGCATGTGTCCAAGCAATGTGTTTGATCACGGAACAATCTGCTCCATTTGGGCCAGCATGGCTTGACCACACAGCTCCCAGGTTGAGATGAACGGCCTTTCTTCCAGCAAAATCGTGCATTTGTCGTGGGTGGCGTGACCACTGACTGTGTGTAGAGTATATACAATATAAGAGCAAATTGCAGATCAAAACTCTTGCTTCAGAAACGCATCCCTGTGCCTCAGTCAGTGCAAAACCTACTTGTTGGGCTCTCTTTTTGTCAGTGTTCGACACAAATTGTTCAATGCCATAGCCTCGTGTTTCTGGACGCCTGATGGAACCCGCGAAAACTTGATTTTACGGCAAACATGGCTAGTTTCAAATAAAACGGGGGGGTTGGGGGATGCGCAAACCCCCATTTTCAAACAAATGATCCGCATAACTCTACTGCAAACATAGCAGTGACATCATGTTCTTTGCCGCAAGCATGGATTTTGCAAACACCATCATCCACATAAACCTCTTTTACTGCAACCATAGCGATGACATGATGCTACATGCGGCAAGCCCAGCATGGATGGTTTTGAACAAAGCCGGGGGGTCGGGGGGGTGCACAAACCCCATTTGCAAACGAAATCATCCGCATAACCTTCCCTTACTTCAAAGATCGCTCAAAAACAGCGGGAGGGTTGGGGGCGGACAAGCCCCGCCCGTTTGTGCAAAACACAATGATCCGCATAACTTGCCTTTGCTGGAAACGGGGTGATGACGTGATTGGCAAGCATGGACGGCTTCTAAAACAAATGGGGGGGCTGGGCGGGGCCCAGCCCCCGAATTGGCAAACGAAATGATCTGCATGGCCACATGTAATGATGACATGATTTTTTGAATTACGCCAAGAATGGATCGACTGATAAAAAATTCAACAACCACACGCTACTCAACCAACTGATGAAATTGCACTTAATCAATCACTCTCCACAGTCACATTCACAGCAAGTTTGATCAATCTTTTGTGCATTGTTACAGTGTCAGCAATCCAGTCTAGAGCCAAACACCAGGCGGCGTTCATTCATGAATGCTGAACATGTGGCAAACACTCACGGCCACCGTGGGAACATTGCCATGTGACACAATCCCTCGTACCAGACCTTGAGTCATGATGTACATTGCAACTAAGCAATGTCAATGTCAACGTCATTAATTCAAACGTTGCCTAACCACTTCCCAATATCAATCATTCCAAGCTTCAGCCAATCAAGAAAATCAATCTCAAAACTGAGTAACAACATGCTGCCGCTTTTGGTCAGTCTTTCATTTATGCTGGACACTGCGCGTATTCACAAGCCACAATCCGGCACTTCACAAGCCGCAGGAAAGGAAGCGCCCATACTCATTTGCAATCAGTGGAAACATTTAAGCCAACAGTACAAAGCCATCACAATGACATGTATACCAGAATCAACCTGCATTCCAAAACGCCAACACACCCGCAGCCTGCATGGGCCATGCAGAATTTGCAGCTTCGGTTGCAGCGGAAACATTGACTTGTGAGTCCAAGAACAAGCAAGACTGACCATTTGTGTGCAAGTCACATGCACTGATGAGACACTTCAATAACACGCCAGATTCATTGTGGCATCAATCTGCCACTCCGCGAGACCCGAAACTTAGGTCTTTATGCTGCGTTCAACACAGGTTCAGTCTTCTGCTGCAGCTTCTTGAGCATGGCCCCAATCATTGTCGTTGTTTGGTCGCTGGCGGAGAAGCTTGATGTCGCAGCGGTCATTGCAGCTGCATTCCCAACAGCAAAGTCTAGGCCGCACAGCTCATCCCAAGTTGAATATTCACTCAAAATCTCTGCTGCTCTTGCTATTGCAAGTTCAATCAGCGCATGGTCAAACAAGGTCCGCTCAATCATTGGGCCACAACTATTCATTGCATGGGCGCCAGTCCGCCGGCGTTGCTACTCGGTCACATTATTCGACCATAATCATAAACCAGGTGGTGTCTTAGAGCTTTCTGACAGTTCTCGTGACAATCGGGCTGCTCAGATTGACATCATTGATCCCAGCGGTCACTTGATCAACGACTTGCCTGTTGAAGTACTTCTCCGACTACATTCGCTTGAAGTTCTGGCTGTCACTAACCCTTCTGGCGCTCACAGTTTTCAAATAGACGCCAGAGGACAAATGCCAGTTGTCCCTCCAACTGCATTTGACTGAGATGGCACTGAGCAACCCATTGGTGAAGTTCCCAGTCGCCAGTCTTCCAACATGGGACAACTCATCTGCCAGTGACATTGGCAGTCCCAACCAGGCGAGGAAAAATCCACCAGTGAAGAAATCCCATTGATGCCCTCACTGCCAACATTGGCAATCCATTCCACCTTTCAACGCGCCTTGTCCACCCTCAATCGGTCATTCTTTCCCATTGTCAATCAAGGGGTCTCAACCATGAAGTGGTCCATGAGCACGTCCATCAATGGCATCTTGGCGTTCCTGCGCTTTGCCGAAGACAGTCTCAGAGTCACCTTGATGGAGACCAACGGCGAGCCATCAATTACTTCATTTTTCATAAGGCTTCACCCAGTGCAGTGAGCCGTGCAATCAGCTCATTTTTCATCTTGCGCGCAGTCTCGATCACATTGTTCAATGCCTCAACCTCGGCATTGCCACTGCGCAGCATCAACTACATTTCACGCAAGATCTCTTTTGCCGTCAATCGGCGAAGGGCATTTGCCACATTCGGACGCACTAGGCCACTGAACCACGGCCCACACGTCACAAGTTCCTCGTTGAGCAAAAGCTCATTGAGAAGCCTCACTCGGCGTGCATTCCGGGCCTACATGTCATTCCCAGCAACTGCAATCGGAGGTGCTGTACTGCCGGAGGCACGGCCTTCTCCTGGACTTCACTCAAATGTCCAGTGGCAGTGGCCACAGGCGACTCATAGCCAGTCCACACTCGGTAAAAGTTTAATGGGATCCCAGACACTTTGGCCAGCGCTTGCGCTGTGATGTCATCCTCAAGCAGTCCAATGTCCAACCAAGTCAGCACGGACCAATGAATATTGGATGCCAGTCGAGATCACCTTCTGAGCAATCCAGCCAATCACTAACCAGCCATTCTTGCACTCTGGCAAACGTTGGAGACTCATTGATTGATAACTCAAAACAATCTCACTCAGGCACATGCTCAACATTCTGGAAAATCGATCCTAATGCAATCCAACCTAATGCAATCACACTAATGCAACCACGCAATCCTAATGTGATTCGCTAGCAATCCGCAAAAATCACGCAGGCTTCAGTCTGCCAAATCAAACATTAAGAATCCTTAGGGTCATGCGCGCATCCCTCCAAGACAGCAAGCCTAAATGCAATGATATTTTGTCACGTACAATCATACCACTTTTTGGGCGTTATGGACTTATGAACGCTCAGTTGCCCGGTTCGCGGGTTTGCGGGTTCGCGGGTCCGCGAGTTCGCAGGTCCGCGCGTTCGCGGGTTCGCGAGTTCGCGGGCTCGCGAATTCGCAGCGTTTGCGGCGTTCGCGGGTTCATCGCAGGTTCGCGGGTTCACGGGTTCGCGGGTTGGCGGGCTCGCGGCTGCGCGGGTTCGCGGGTTCGCGCGTTTGCGGGTTTGCGGGCTCGCGGGCTCGCGGGTTCACGGGGTTTGCGGGTCCGGGGGTTCGCAGGGTCGCGGGGCCGCGGAGGTCGTGGCGTTCACGAGGTTGGCCTGGGCTTTGCAGTGTCCAGAACTATAGAGGAAATGCCCGAGCGAGGCCTTGCGTAGGAAAATGGACTTCTTTCAAAATTGGCGGCGTTATTCTATATGTATAAGGTTTACAAGGCTATAGGCCTCGCACCCTCTATACATATATAAAATATAAATACTCAAAAATGGCGGGGTGCGAAGCCTAGGGCTATTGCTATTTTTGGTCCTCTTTGTCCCGCATGCCAGGCGTCAAGGACGCCCCGCCGGTGCGAATTAAATGACTGAAGCACACTGTACGGTCAGTCTTCAAGAGAGCAAGCCTGGCAAACAAGCTTGTGTCCCATGCAAGAGCGACGCTCCGTCACCGCGTAAATGCGCGCACAGAAGACGCAAGCATTAAAACAGAAGCCGAAAAGCATGGTATACGTGGCACTTCGGGCATGCGCACACATCTGCAAACAATGCATCCATGCAGCCGCAATCCACCAAAAAACTGCGAAAATCGCGCTTTGGGCTAGGATCTAAAAACCCAGAAGCAGGCGAAAAGCATGGCACACCTGGCACATGTCTAAACAAAGCTTCAGCGAAGGCAAGCATGTATGGAAACCTCATGCACGAAGCTCGCAGTGACATGTTTTGGAGCTGGAGGCGTTTTGTTCGTTTCTTTGAGGAGGTCAGCGAAAAAACGAGGAAGTCAGCGTATGCTATTGGAACACGAAGGGAGTTATGGTTTGGGCATGAAGTCTCTGATGACCATATGCTCTCGGAACACGAACGGAATTATCGTTTGGGCATGGATGCTCTGGTCAGCGCATGCTCTTCCAACACAAACGGAACTATGGTTTGGGCATGGATGCTCTGGTCACCGCATGCTCTCGGAACACGAACGGAATTATGGTTTAGGCATGAATGCTCTGGTCAGTGTATGCTCTTTCAACACGAACGGAATTATGCTTTGGGCATGGATGCTCTGGTCACCATATATGCTCTTGGAACACCAACGGAATTATGGTCATTGTATGCTCTTCCAACACGAACGGAATTATTATGTGAGCATAGATGCTCTGGTCATTGTATGTTCTTGGAACGCGAACGGAATTATGGTTTGGGCATGGATGCTGTGGTCAGCGCATGCTCTCGGAACATGAACAGAAATGTGGCTTCAGCATGGATGTTCTGGTCACAAAGTGCTCGCGGAACACGAACAGAAGTATGGTTTGGGCATGGATGCTCTGGTCACCGCATGCTCTCGGAACACCAATGGAATTATGGCTTGGGATGGTTTGGGCATAGATGCGCTGGTCATTGCATGTTCTTGGAACACGAACGGAATTATGCTTTGGGCATGAAGGCTCTGGTCACCGCATGCTCTCGGAACACCAATGGAATTATGGTTTGGGCCAGTTTGGGCATGGATGCTCTGGTCAGCATATGTTCTGGGTCTGACAGCAAACTATGCTCAAAGAACGTGTCGAAGCAATGCTGGTCCGAAGGCGCCCTTTTTCCATGTACGAACGCAGCTAAAAGTCTATGGCTCAGGCGCACGCTTGGTTTGGGCAAACATGTTAGCGGGAAGCAGTGCTCATAGAAACAGATTTCTCACTGATACTATCTTTCTTTTTGCCCAAAGCAAGCTCCTTCAACTGGATGATCGGCTTGACCAACCACTTCGTGAACTCCACAAGCAACGAACTGTCCAGCTTCGTGAGAGCATCCGCCCTCATCAACTCCGTTGGCACCCAGTGCATCTGGCGCGGAGAGACCGTCTCTTGGACGCTCCTGATATTCACCAGGCTCCGTTTGTCGGAGAGATTTGGATTTTCTGCCACTACACAGTCGTACAGGGACTTGGCATCCGTCACCAGAAGACTGTGAACGCGAAGCCCAACTCGAAAAGCAGGCTCGCCATAGAGGAGCTCCGAGATCATGTAGTTGGCCATGGCGGCACGGTCTGCGCCTTCATCACTGGCGCATGCCTCCGCAGCCAGTGTGCTCCTGCACACCCTTGAAGAACGCCCTGACCGCCAGTCGAGCAGTGCGCCGACCATGGGCACCTCTGTCACCTGGGGACGTGTCAGGAGCACAAGGAGCCCAAACTGAGACTTCAAGCTTGAACTGTTGTTCGCCCAGCTGGAATCACTGAAGGTCACCAGCGTGCTCGAACGGTCGAAGGGCACGTCTTGGTAGGTGATCCCAACCTTCCTTGTGGCACGCACGTACTCGACTCGACGGTCTCGTAGAGCCTTTTGAGGTCGAGGTAGGTTGCTCAAGCTGACCACAGGTCCCAGCTCGGGCCTGGTCTGGGAAGACAACCACTGAAGTGAACCGGAGATGCTCCTGAACTCCTGCCACTCGGAAGGTGTTAGCTTTTCATCTTCCTTCGCGCGTCTTCGCGGAAGTCGGCCGGAGTCCATGCCGTCGATGAACGCGGTCTGGGTGACTTGGTACTTGAAGCGGCCGTTCTCCTGCACGAGTTCGATCTCCTTGCCTCTATAGACTCCGGGGTGGTCCTCGTCGATGACAGTCACTGAACCCCAGGTGAACATCCCCTCCAAGAGGTCGATGTCAAAGAGCTCGTGATACGGCCTGTTGCCCGGGCCAGGACTCTTTTCCCCCAAACTGAAGTCCATAGGCGTTCCCAAGGACTTCGTAGAGGGGGGCACTGTAGGCTCCCACTTCATCGATGACAGGGTCGCGAGGTGGTCTCATGAAGATCGGTCCTCCACGTTCTTCACGATTCTGTTCTCCCTGCAGGAAGGCGGATTTCGCATCCGACAGCCACAGTTTCCACAGACCACCATCGCCGTTCACCTCTCTGTTCCGGCCTGCGGTGGCAATGGCAAGGACGATTGCTTCTGAAAGTCTCGAAGGGGTCGGCGAATCTCTGGACACACTGAAGATGTCTGGATCATTGCATCCGATCAAGACCACTCTGCACTTTGCCTTGACTTCGCCGAGGCCCTTGTTCTTGTCGCGGTAGGCGGCTCGGGACTTGAGGACTCGCTTGGAAAGCTTGGGGTCGCTGCTTTCTCCGCTTCGGGTCGGGAGAGAGGTCTGATTCCTCCCCATCTCATCCAGTTGTCCTCCTCGGTTCGGACCGACTCCAAGAACTTCTCGTAGCTGGCGCGGGGAAGTGCCTTGACTTCTTTCCAAGGCAACTCTCGGTCGAGCTGCTTCAGCTCCTGGCGTGTGTGTGTGTCCGATTGTTGGACACCGTCTTCACCTCATCCTCGGAAGAAGAGCCATCCTCACGGGTGAAGTCTTCGTTGACGCCGTCAGCTTGGAGGTCTCGAATGCGCTGCTTGCTCGCGAGATAGCACTGGTAATGGTGCTCAGTATGAAAGGGCAGTGGCATATCGATCATCTCGTCGCCTCTCTGAAGGATTGCCTCCCCGAAGTCGTCCACACAAAGTTCGAACACCCCGCTCTGGAACAGGACGTGGCTGAGCAGGACGTCTGCTGTTCTCTTTTGCGGCAGTTGTGGTAGTGGTTCAGGAGGTGCTTGTGCGTCTGAAGCTGAGGCACGTGGATCGTCCATGGTAGGTTGCGGTTGACCCGCAGGTACTGGAAGTCGTTGTTCCAGGTTGACGTTGTCGTTGTTGCCGACTGACGGCAGCTCGTTGTGACTGAGGTCCTGCACGTTGGCGGTTTCGCCTATGGCCGTCTCGCCCAAAAGAGGAACAAGTGGTTGTGCTCCTGCTTCGAATTGGTACTCAGGAGTTCCGGGAGCTATGGCACTGTAAGGAGGTGTTTCCGGAATCCCAGGACTGAACGGCAAGCTTCCAGGCGTAGCAGGTGCTGGAGCTTGTCGTGTGCTGCTGCTGGCTGCTGCGGCTTTTCTTGTGTGCTTTGTGGCCTTCTCACTCGTGTCGCGTGCTTTTCTAGCCCTCGAAGGTGTCCGTGACCTAGGCCGACCACGTGGTGTTGGAGGTACCGGCGATGATGGCATTCTCCCTGGCGAAGCAGGTACCTGAAAGGTGAGAGACCGGTTGTCGTAGTAGTTCTGCACATGTGATTGCTGTTGGACCGCCGTCTGTTGCTGTTGAACCGCCGTCTGTTGCTGTTGAACCGTCGTCTGTTGCTGCTGAACCGTGGTCTGCTTGGCCATCTCTGTGCTCCCGGCAGACCGTGTCGGTACGCGTGGTTGTACTGGTAGTCGCTGTGGTTGCTGCAGTGACTAGGTTGGTACACGTAGAGCTCGAGGCAGTTCAGCTGGATTCTTTTTCCAAAAGAAAGTTGACGTTCCTGTCCAAGTGTCGTCGTATGTCCGTGCGCACCGAGGATCTCGCCATTGGTCTTCCTCTGGTTGCTCCTGGTGCTCGTGGAGGCATCCGCCAGGTCGTTGACGTCGAAGTCGCACTCGTGGGGCTCGGGAACGTAGAGCTCGTAGCGAGGGATCACGTGCACGCGAATGGCACGGTCGTCGGCGTACCTCCAGTAGTCTTGTTCCCGTACTGGTAGAGGTGCTGGTCGTAGAGGAAGTTGGCTTGCAAGCTCTGCCGTTGCTTCCTCTAAGGCGGCGGGAGGCTCTTCTCGTTGGTCCTCCCAGAGGTTGTCGCGGAGGTTCCGCTCAGCGTCTTTGAGGATGGCGATGTCGTCGTGCGAGGGGGTCCACTCTTCCCAACCACACGCCACACGAATTTGGTTGTTGGCAACCTTCACGGTCGTGGTGTTGACTTGGAGCCAGACAGACTTGTTGTCGGGATCGCGGGACACAAACCTTGCTAACGCCCAGGCGCCCCGTTTGTGCTGCCTCGACCGTCCAGACCACCGCCAGAACGCGACCGCCTGGCCTGGCTGAAGATCCCGAAGGTTTTGCTGATGATGTCTTTCTCAGCACCGCTCTTCGTATGGCTGAGCTCGCAGTGTGCTCTGCCAATGCCTTCATGGCCTCGGCACGAAGGATCTCAGGTCGCATCAGGCCTGGATCAGGCGACGTGGTCGCTCACCAAGTCTCCAAGGGGCCGCGCCACACGTCCAAACACTGCTTGTGCTGGTGACCGATCGTGGGAGAAGGTGCACGAGTTGATGGTGCGAAGCACGGCGACCAGGCACTGGTCCAGCTCCTCTCTCTTGGCCACGCCACGTTCGTCTACCACGCGCTCAACAAGGCTCCTCATCAAAGCATTGCGGCGCTCAATCTTGCCGACGCGGAAGTGGGTTTCGGCAGGAACTGTCTCGTGGAGAATGCCGTGGCGCATGTGGAAGGTCGTGACTTCACCGCCAAACTCGCCGCCGGGGTCCGTCTTGAAGCGCAGAGGTAGACCAAGAGGTCGGTACCATATTTCCAACAAAGTTGCTAGCACATGTGCTGGCTGTCTTGACTCCAGGACCTTAGCAGAATGATACGAGGTTGCTTCGCAGGTGATGCCGAGGACGGGCACGTTCTCGCCATTAATCATCCGAAGGTAGACCACATCGGACTGGAGAACCTCGCCGAAGTAGCCGGAGTAGTTGCTTGAGGTCGAAGAGGTAGGCGGAGGTCGTGGTTGGCGGGTACGTATGCAGCCCCCACACCTTAGGCAGTCGAGGCCTGCGAGGACCTTCTTGCTCAAGTTGCCGGCTGCAGCAAGCATCCTCACGAGTTCAGCTTTGGGGGCGTGGCCCATGTTGACGTGGAGCCGCCCAAGCGAATATTGAAGCTTTCGGTCAACTTCCCGCGGCGGATCCTCGAACCAGATTTCGGTATCGAAGCCAGCCAATCGAAGTTGCCTTTGGGAAGGTGTGGCTTCAACCTGCTCGCCAGGTAGAGGTGGAGGTTGTTCTTGTACTCCGAGGTCCTGTTCGGGGAGCTCGGCTTCTTTCTTTGGGAAGCCGAAGAAGAACACCGCCACTCGTACTGGATTTTGGTACCGCTGCTTGCTACTTGATGGACGACAGGTCCTCGGCTTCTAGCTGGAAGTCGCCAGACGTAAGCCTCAGTGCGGCTCCGCGGTGAGTGTAAGGAAACTCCTGAGGTAGTCGTCGGGCAAGTGGCAGCCACGCAGCTTGTACCCGAGTGATCTCCCAAGCAACCAGCTCCTTAATGGCCTTCATCATCGGGTCGTTGTCGGGCAAAGTGAACGGCTTCTTGTTGCTGTTCGTGAAGCGTGACTCCACGTCATCTAGCAGTGACTTCCATGCCTCGGCGTCAGGAGCAGGTCGGGCAAACATCACGTCGTGGGTCTTTTTGGTGAATCGGGCCGGATTCCTCCTTCTGGCTTCCTGGTAGATGCCGTTGAGGATGGCGTCGACAAGGCCGTCGCAGTACTCGCCCGAGCGCTCAGTCTCCTGGCCCTCGACTGTCACGCAGTACTGCTTTTGGTCGGCGGTCATCTTCTTGGACAGGTTGTCTGCCAGGAAGTCGGAGTTCGTGATCCACCGATGCGGTTTCACGATCGGCTCGCCCTTGCTCGTCTCAGCACCATGCGCCGGCAGGTCAAGCAGCTTCTGGACACAGTTTTCACGCCACAGTCTCGACCTCAGCGGATTTTCTCCAAGAAAAAGTCGGGACTGCTCTTCACAAGCCCACGCGCCCAGGCTGACCAAGGGGCGTTCTTCCTCTCGAAGTGTCGCCAACTCGGACATCCGGCGCGTGTAGTTCAGGTTCTCGTTGAACAGCGTCCATAGCGCGCAGGGCCACTCGACCAGAACACACAAAGGTTTGAACTGGTAGATGGCATTTTTCAAAACTGCAATGGTCTCGAGGTCTGTCAGGTCATAGCCAAGCTTGCGCTCGAAGGGTTGCAAGGCATTGAGGCCATAGACCTACGCGCAATCAGTGACCCGGGAGGTGCCCGCAAAGATTTCAAGCACGTCAATCTTCGGGCGGGCACCATGGATGTCGCGGTGGACCGGGAGGACGTCGTAGGCGTGGACCTCGCGCTCCAAGTCCTTTTGAGCTTGCCGAAGATGTCCTGTCAACCAGCTCTGTGTGCCTTTCTTCAAGCGGTCTAGTCGTCCATGACCAAGGCCCAGTCGTAGTCCTCGCTCTCCTCGGCTTGCTCCTCCACTGCATCTTGGGCCTTGCGTGTCTTGACGCTCTTTGGTGCGGCCTTTGGCTTCAGGTGGTCGCCGGTGTAGTCGAACTCGCTGAGGCTTCCGGAATGGGGAGCGCCTTGACTGCCCAAGCCGGCCGTCGGGCTGAAGCATTGTCCGATGGCTGTGGCAGCGGCAGTCGCTGCGACGATGGCCGTTCTTGCCAAGCAGCCTCGCTTTTGTTGTATCTCCACTGGACGCCGCACTGGCTGCACTTGCAGAAGCTCCCGTATTGGTTGCCCGAGCGCACCAAGGCCTCTGGCGGGTGGCTGCACGGTATCTCGAGAGACAGGGGGTCTTGATGAGCCAGCCAGGAGCGTGGTCGAAGGCCCAGACGAAGCAGGAAGCGGATCAGCACCATCTCGGCCGCCCGAACCGCCGTCATCAGAGCTCGCCAGTTTTGCATCCATCGAGGAGGCGGGGCCATCGAAAGTCTTCGAAGGAAGGGTCGTGACTTTGACCAGCTCGAGGTCACTATTGCCTTGATCAAGAATGCGGCTGAAGTCCAACCACTTGTCAAGGATTCGCCTTTCACGCACGGCAGGGAAATTGGAGATTGCAATGCAAATGTGTCCATTGATCTTTACGATGGGGACCTCTACATTGAACGCACCAAGTCTCGCACAACCTTTGGGGAAGTCAAGAACAGCTTGCAACTTCTTCTCTATCATGGGCAGGCTGAGCAGAAGGGGAATGTCACTCTTCTTGTGCAGCACACTCGCTCCAATCAAACAGCACGTGTCTGCTTCATGATCCAAACATGCTGGAAGGTACACATGCTCAGAGCTGAACTGCACATCCCCAACGCCGAACTGGAAACCTTCTTTCTCGGGCTCGGTCTTTGTCTCTAGGCCATGCTGCTTTAACAGCTGGTGGCCCTGCAACGACGGGCTCCTTGGTGGGTTCAGCGGCATGACCGCGGTGAACGAGGAACTTGCGGAGAACGCCGTCCTTGTCCATCGCGCCCGCCATGGCCCGCAGCAGCGGCAGCAGCGGCAGCAGCTCGCCTCTGTCTCCGCGATGGTCTTGGCGGCGCAGGTTGCCAAGTGTCCGGGTCGATGGTGGCATCGCTGGTCAAGGATTCACTCTCTGCGTTCTCTCTTGCTTCGCCCAGGCCTCCGCTAAAGTCCGGAGGGAAGCGGTGTTGAAGTCGACCTCCTCTCGGTTGCCAGGCGGAAACAGGAGACGCTTGCCTTGTCGACGGCATCCCAGGCAATGAGCTTGAGGATGACGTCTGGTCTGCATCAAGGTTGGGCTCGCCTCTGGGAACGTACACCCAGGTGCCAAAGCCTACATGTCGGGTTGTCGGGGCTACAGCGTTGAAGAAGTCTCGGCTCCCGCATCCACTGCATCTCCAGCCATCGTCCCACATGAAGCTGAGGCCGTCGCAGCGCAAGCACTGCCATCTCGGGGGTACTTCCTCTAGAAGGCACTCCACAGGTCGGCTCGAACCTTCCGGAGCAGCAACACCTGGATCGTCTTGCGGTTCGAGACCCGGCGGCCTTCTCGGAAAGGATGGGGCAGCAGCTCCGTCTCGGGATCCCTCCTGTCGAAGGAATTCGTCCAAGGTCGCGGGCCTCGCCATCAAGAGCTCAAAGGCTCCGCTGCCAACTGACAGCAAACTATGCTCAAAGAACGTGTCGAAGCAATGCTGGTCCGAAGGCGCCCTTTTTCCATGTACGAACGCAGCTAAAAGTCTATGGCTCAGGTGCACGCTTGGTTTGGGCAAACATGTTAGCGGGAAGCAGTGCTCATAGAAACAGATTTCTCACTGGGAACACAAACGGAATTATGGTTTGGGAATGGATGCTCAGGTCATTGTATGCTCTCCGAACACGAACGGAATTATGGTTTGCGCGGGGTTCGCATGCAGGGTTCAGGGGCTTGCGGAGTTCGCGACGTTCGCCGAGTTCGCGGGGTCCGCGGGTTCGCGGCTTGGCGAATCCGGGTTCGCGGGTTCACAGGTTCGCGGGTCCGCGGGTTCGTGGGTTCGCGGGTTTGCGGGTTCGTGGCGTTCGCGACTTCGCGGGTTCCCGGGTTCCCGGGTTCGCGTGTTCGCGGGTTCGCGTGTTCGCGGGTCCGGGGATTCGCGGGTTCGCAGGTTCGCGTGTTCGCGGGTTCGCGGGTTCGCGGGTTCGCGGGTTCGCGAGTTCGCGGGTCCGCGGGTTCGCGGTGTTCGCGGGTTCACGGGTTCGCGGCGTTCGCGGGTTCGCGAGTTCACGGGTTCGCGAATTCGCGGCGTTCGCGGCGTTTGCGGCGTTTGCCGCGTTCGCGGGTTCACGGGTTCGCGGGTTCGCGGGCTCGCAGGTCCGCGGGTTTGCGGGTTCGCCGGGTTCGCGGGTTCGCGGGTGCGCGGGTTCGCGGAGTTCGCGGCGTTCACCAGGTTCGCGCGAATACCGTGCGCTATCATGATCATGAGTGGTTTTCTGGGCCTGGAACATTAAGGGTCCTACTATTTTGGGGGTGTATGGGGACCACCATCTTGATACATACGAAATGAATCTGTACGACCAGTGCACTGACACCGAATGCAAAGACGTACAAGTCCTTCCATCGGAAATGTTTTCTCCAGAGTCAAGTTCTCTCATACAACACTGAGAATTTTGAAGTGGGATAACCAGAGAACTTAGGGTCAGGTCCTGGAAATACTGAGTTTTATGATGGATACACCAAACCAGAAACAGCTAGATCGACCGAGGCGCCTCCGAAAATGTAAAGGATATTTGCGGGAATATATAAGTCCTTGCATCATGATGGCAGTAAAATTCCATCCAAAAATGCCAGGTTTTGGTAGTGAAACCCGCCTTCCACATAATATGATCTAAGGAGGTGTGTCCACATGCAACGGATGATATGATACTGTTAATTGCAAAAGCTGAGTCTCGTGAGAAAACTCGGAAAAGAAGTCCAGATGGAGTGCGTGAGTGTATCCTGCACATGTTTTAGGGGGACTAGGAAGCATTTAAAACCAAGCATTTAAATGTTCAGGTAGGGGTTCTTATTGAAAAAAATTCAATGCCTATAGTTAAATGCTTCCTAGGGTTCCTAAATGTTAGACAATGACATGAGAAGGCTTCAAACTTGGGAATGCTCAGGAGTACCACGTTGAGCGAAGAAGACGACCTTGAGCGGAGTGCAGTAGTGAACAGTATAGCTTCCGTCGACTTAGTCGCTCAGTTGTTGAACGACGAGGTCGACGCAGGCTATACCGATTGGCTACCGGGGCACTCCGCTCAAGACCGCCACTTCGAACAAAGAAGAAGACCTCGAGGAGTACACCGGTACTCAGAGTCAGTCAGCATGGCTGTCAGTATAGCATTCTTCAACATTATCGTTCATGAATTATCAAATTTTCCGAACGCTCCGCAGGGGAGCGTCATTTTGAGAGAAGTTGCTGAAGATAAACCGACGAAAATTTGAGGATGCTCCGCACGGGAGCGCGATGTTTTAAGATACAAAATTTCAAAGAAAAAAAGAAACTTAAAAAAAATGCGACTGCAACGAGCGGGAGCACGATTTTTGAGTAAGCAAAATCTGGAATTTTGAGGATGTCCCGCACGGGAGCGCTATTTTCGAACAATCAGGGCGCGACCAGTTCGGTTACAGACCCCTCTAGCAAGAATACTTTAAAGGGGAGGACGGCCTACTCTTGAATGATTACGCTGTGATGATCCGACGACCGTGTTGAGGATGCTCCGAGTGAGACCGCAACTTTATAAACACCTACGGCGCGTTCAAATTTTTTGCGAGACGGAAGAGCACGCAGAGATGGCGGGTAATACAGTAATAACCAAAAAGCGGGGGGCCCAGCAACAAGCACATATTTCTTGAAACGTGCGCCACGCTCGCCTGGATCTGCATGGCATTTTCCAAGCCCCATGGTGTCAACAGAGGCAGACAGGTGGAAAGCCGAGGTACGCCGGAGACGCAGGATAGAGGAGGGGCATCAAGGAATATCAAGGAGCATACTTTGTCCGCCACCCGAGCCAGAAACATTGTTGGTCTCCAAATTGCTTTAATCATCACCTGCAGGGATGTGGCGGGATGTGGGGCTGGGTTAGCCGGAACTCTTAGATTGCACCTGAGACAACGCAGACGGCAGGCTGATCATGGCAGGGACTTGGAGAGATCGCTTGATTCAGATATAACAGCAGCAAGTTTGCCATACCCCATCATCAGACTCTGTGCTTCACTCCATCACCTTTCTGATAGAGAATGGGGATTCTATTTGATTCTTGACTTCTCAAACAACCACAAGTGTGACACAGGACATGAGCTCAAGGGCTGCCACATGGTCCGTCCGTTTGAAACGCATGCTCAGGTGAAGAACCATTATGGTAGCCTCCGTTTCACAGCCACCCAACTTGTTGACCGCTGGCTACTGCTATGCTAGTAGAGAAGTGCCCCCACACGACATACTCCTAAAATCTTGCCACCCGATCTCCCATGGTTCCCAAATTCTGTGCTGAGAGCTGAGCTTGGCAAGTAAGTAGCAGGGCCGCAACTCAAGAAAACGGCGACATGTGCTATGGTCTCTGATGGGCTATGTCATCCTCGATGCTGGATGCTATGGTGAGAGTCTGAATTGTCCTCGAGTACTGCTTCAAGCATTCTATTGACTTGTCTCCTGGCATGCTGACTCCATTCTGAGAGAGCCTGACGACACCACATTCGGGCCCTGCAGCTGTAAGCAGCTGTTGCAACATTCTTCCTAACCATGAGCCAGGTGAGCCGCGATCCGGGAGACTTTTGGCGTTGCTCCGCGCATGCTCGTGCTGTCGGCCTGTATGTTCTGCCCTCCTTACTTTGAGGAATTCAGCAGACCGCAGCTTTTTTGGATAAGTGTCCGAGGGTTAAGCCACTTCGGGCAGCCCGTAGATCTCCTTCAAGATTCACAAGCCTAGCCTAGCTTTTTCAAACACCGACGCAGGACATGCCAGTTTTTCTGGCTGCTGCTGACTGCGCCTCGTGTAGCTATGATGTGAGCTTGTCAAGAGGCGATTGCAACCATTGTGGGTTGTCACGTTCCTGCTCAATGCGTGTCAATGCCAGCCCGCACCGTGTCCTAGCTACTAGTAGGTGACACAGGAAGGACCGGAGTCAAGCATCTTGTTCACCAAGATGTGACAGAAAATTATCCGGTTCTGGCGACACCGCTTCAAAACACGCGTGTGCTCGGGCATCCTTCGCTTCCTTGCAGTCATTCTGATGCCGGGAAGGGCAGTTCTATCAACGGAGCTCATTAAATACTCTCCTGGCAGCACTGCCTCACTCACCAGTAACGAGCATGAAACCTGGCGGTCTTGAAGTTAAGCATTCAAAGGGCGCAGCGTGCAGTGCAGCCTGAGGCAGCAGGCGCAGTTCGCGCTCTTAGTCGGATGAGGGATATCGTGACTGCTGCGATGCTTAAGACCTTAAGGTCCAGTGGCCATGCAAGTCAATGAGACCAGCAGTCGTGCAAACATGTGCAAACATGTTCAGACGGCATAATGCCCCGCGTGCGCTGCAAGCCAAAGAAAGGCTCATGTTCATGTTGGAGGACGAGGTGCAACTAAAGAGATTGGCAGGATGGAACTTCCACGGCCATGGAGACGCGAACGCAAAGCCCGGCTGCGGGCATCGTCATACCTGGATGCATGAGTTGGCAACGCACATGTCTTTAAGAAGGTGGCAGCTAACACCTGTAGCAGCATAACCCTTATAATCTAGGTATGATGCAGTACGGGGTACGCGACAGTCTTCGTGAATCTTTGTTACTGAAAAGCCCCATCTGCATGGACACCTGATGTGAGAACCTTGAACATCACTCCACTGCTCTTGTGGCTTATGGCAGCGATAGCTTTCGCTCAGATAGGGCACTTCTTAGCGAAGAGTGTGTCGAGAATGCCGCGGAACCAGGCGACGATTTCAGCAAAGGCGCCCTGAGCAAAACAAGGTTCGGCCTACAAGGCCTACGAGCCCCATGCTTTGCTCCGTTCCCTGGCGCCTTGGAGCTTGTTTCAGTCGATCCCTGCACGTTTGCCATGGTGGCTTCATCACCACCATGCGTATCCATGATGTCTACCTGGCATATCAGAAGTTAGACTAAAAAAAGGTATCTCGACAGCACTACAAGTAGTGCAACCACTCTGCCCGTAGTTAATCCCCTTTGAATTCTGATTCTGACAGCGACCTCAGCCCCCACCCCACGATATGGTACAACATTGGAGGGGAGCCGTTCTTGCCCTTATGAACCCAGAAAAAGTTTACAAAGTGGGAAGGGCGTCAATACATGAAGACCTTTTAAGTTTTGTGTCCGTTGTAATAAGGGGGCTGCGTACCTTTTGTTGCGTCAATTCATAAACAGTAGAGGCATTTATAGTTTTAAAGATACACACAGAAGTACAAGGATAAACCAAAGGGATGAGGGGCCAAAAAAGAACAAAGTACGAAGATAAACAAAAGGTATGAAAAGCTGAAAGAAAGAAGAATAAAGGAAGCATGCCCATAAACAGTATGATTACAGAGTGTGTGTGCGTGTGTGTATATATATGTATGGGCTACCACGCCGCAATTTATGTTTCTTACTCTACACCTCCCTGGCACCGGTGCTTGGTACAAGGTTCCCGTGACTGCATCCTGGGAGGATTATGTGGGATTATGCAGGGATTGTGTAAGGATCAGATGGGGATTGTATAGGGATTATGTCAGGATAATACACGGACTATCTAGCAATTATGCCAAGTGTTATTAAGGATTATTTAGGGATTATGTGAGGATTATACTGGGATTACAAAAAGATCATGTGAAGATTATCTAAGGATTATATAGGGAGTATGTCAGGACTATATCTGGATCATTTAAGGGTTCTATAGGGGTTGGTGTAAGGATGACAAAGCATGGTCCAGGACGCAGACACGGGACATGGTACCAAGCACTGGTGCAAGGGAGTCTTAAAGTAGAAAACGAGCATGGTAGTATATCGGTATATAGATTATATTTAGACACTTCACTATACTATTTAAGACATATGCCCTTATATAGCTTATTATATATATCTCTCTGATACACTGTATACATTCTGTTTATGGGCACTCTTTCCTTTATTCTGCTTTCAGCCCTTCATATCTTTGCTTTATGTTTGTACTTCATTGAGTATAGAAAGCTCTTGCCCCTGGAAGATACAAGGTACCACGTCCCGTCTCCGTTGAGGTACTACCCTCAGGTGTGAGAGTGACTGTACCCTTCATGTTCTCTAAAAAACGGTTAAATAAAATGAGGGGGGGGACACCATGGCCAAAATATGTTATGAAATAGTGGGTGGGTTACGTAACGTCATTTTATGATATAAAGGGGGTATACCCCCACCCATTGCATAAGGGAATCCGAAGGGGGATCTTGGTTACTTGTTTGCTTTTGCTGCCTACGGTCATGTCCACGGCATGACTGATTGGTGGGCATCCAGTGTGTCCCTCTCTCTAACCATGTCTATCAGTCTTTGAGAATTCTTCTTGCCGCAGCTGCAACGTGCGTCAAGGGTCATTTACACAGCAAATAAGGAGATTGCTCCGAAGCTTCGCCACGACAATGCAATCATCAAGTTCCAAATCAATTGGCCGGCCTCGTCTAGTCCAACTCCCAGGTGAGCTGCATGTGCAGCCTGCGATGCCTGAACAGGAAGCAATCGACCCTGCTTTTGACGACGCTCAAAAAAGGACAACTTTGTAGAAACCTGTGTCTGACTCTCAACTCGCGATGCCAGCCACAAGAGTTCAATCAGATGCGTTCATTTTTCTTGGCAATGCCAAAAGCGCCTCACTTTGGTTTGCGATGGCGACAAAACGCACAGCCAGGGCTCCCGCGACTGTCAGCTCCTGCGCAGGCGAGTCTGTCTGAATACTTCTCACTCAGCACCGCAAAATCAGATCACAGGGCAATCTAATTACAGGCCATCCCCATGAGTTTCCACCCCAAGTTCAACTAAAAGGCCCAATAACCCTCCAGTCTGCGGGGCAAGGTAAGGGATGAGCGCGGAGATCAAATCCTAAAATGTACGCCTCCAATACCGGCCCTACAATAATGCTTCATTCCGGGTCAGGTAATACTAGTTGACAGATAAATTCCAAGCATTAAGCGGGGATAGCCGGGCCAGTCAGATATAATTGAGACGGCATCACGGATTGAGACCAAGTGCTCCGTGTTGTGAGTGCCCTGAAAAGCTGACCCTGACCTGCACTTATCAACTTTATCACAGATACTCCCGCCACCAAAACCAGCACGCAACCCGTCTTCCTTTTCACCTCATAGTGTGGCGTATCAGGAAGACTTTATTAGCTGTGAAGACCTTAAAACGGCCGCTAAACAGCCCGCTCACAGACTGCTTGACTGCGCAAGCAGGGGCCTGCATTAAGATCGCACACGAACCCAAGGCCAACTTTGCACCGAACTTCATTTTGACCAGGCGCTCTCTTTGGTCGTCAAAAAGCCCTGGCTCTTTGCTGCTAAGTGTGCCCGCCAGAAGCAAGACCGCATCTGGTTTGCACTGCAAGAATTCTTGCACCTTGGACCTGCACACCGACACCACAACTCCTTCTGCCAAGTTGTCAACTACGTGCAAGCAATCTTGCGTGCTTTGTTTCAATGCCGTGACTGCATGAAACACCGTTCGAAGAAGACTTTCGTGGATGAAGAAGCGAAGCTTTCCACCGATTGTACTCAGTGTACTCATGAGCCTGTGGCGTGGCATGTGCCCTTTGCTCGCTGCTTGCGGGGATCTCCAAGAACATCTCTTGCAGACTGCTGACAATCTCTGCAGGATCGCCTGTAGCATTGCCACGGGGGAAACATTAAGTCATCATCTAACGCATGTATGCAGAGGTCCACTCCACCTATTTGTTTCGGTCAAACGCCTCCCCATGAAATCTGTGAATTTGCGCAACCACCTGCAAAAAGCAGCATCAGATAGCATCAGCAATTCCCGCGTCCGTCGGGCTGGACCTCGGGCATTCATCCTCAGCCTTCTCGCGCAGTTATGCACAGGTCTCCCCAGGGTCTTGCAAGCTGAGCGCGATCATAGTCTGAAAGTGTAAGGTTTCCCGGCTAAGCCTTTTGCATCGCCGTCGGTGAAAATGGAGGATGGAATACAGTGTCGCAACTGCCCGTGCGTTGCAATCTGCAGGTGTTCTTCCATTTTCCAGCTGCCTGTAATGAAAAAACATGAAAACTCAGGCGTTGCAAGTTGGTGGGTTTTGCTCAGCATCATGAAGCATCCATGTTACCTGTTCGATCGTCTAGTCAGCCTGCATCTTCGAAGCCAGAATCTTGTCCATCAGCAATAAGAAAATATCTAAGACTCGATTTGTAGCCAAAAACGGGCGAGTTTCGTAGGAGAGGCTTGCTGGATGCTTGGGCCCGCTTGGCGGCATAACTACAGCGACAGCACTGTTTAAGAAATCATTGGTTTCAGAAATTGAGCCCCTCGGCGGCCGTGCATATATATATATATTTTTTTGGTTTGAAAATGCAGGGCAAACAGAAATTAAGATATCGATGGTACCTTAACCTCGCGGGAGACAATTCTTAATTTATCTTGTGTTTGGCTCGATTTCTTAATTTGGCCGTTTTTGACATTTCCCATTTTTGGTTAAAATTAAATAGAACTGGCCAGGCCCCTTGTAGAAATGATTAATTAGAAATGGTCCAATTCTTCTCCAGATTGATCAAATGACCAACTTTAAGAAAAACAAAAAAGAAATTGATGGGTTTTTGAAATCTCTGAGTTTTGATAAGAAATACTACAACTGCTCCATTTCTTAATAAATACCACAGCTGCTCCATTCCTGAATAAGAAATACCACAGCTGCTCCATGTCTTACATCCTTTTCTATAGTTAAGTTTATATTAAGAAATCGAGGGTACCCTCAAAGTCAGATAGAATACGTTTGATAAAAAAAATGACTGTAGGCCTCATATTTAAGAAATCGAGGGTACCCTCATCTGAGCGTAGCTGTTTCTCAAGCAGCGCTGTCACTGTAGTAGCCCTCGCCCACGCAAGCCTGGCACATCCTCGCACTGCTACCTGCTCACGTACCTCTTGCTAGCTGCCACTTCAACGCAGACCAAAAATGGAAGATCGATCGCGCTCCTGGAGCTTCCAGTCTTGCGTGGCGTTGGTGCTGTCCCAAAGCTTTTTGGTCATGCCCAAAGCATCCTGCAAGAGTTCATGCACTGGCTGGCTGATACACTTATCTAGGCCCTATGCGTACGAAAAGCGCAAATTGTTCTGCTTGCCCTGCGATTGCGTGCTGCAGCCTGGAAATCCACCTCGAGCTTGCCAGCCGACGCATAGTAGCTGAACTGCAGCTTGTAATGCTTCGTGATGTCCAGGAACGGGCTCTGCAAAATGATTGCCTCAGTGTGGTAGTCGCGTTTCCTGGCCTACATCAATGCCCACTCTGGCAGCAAAGAGTGGCACAGCAAATCTGAGTCTGCCAAAGTTTGTACAGCATGCTCTAACTGCAAACGGGGGCCTTTTGTGGATGCTTCAGCACCTCACAAGATCTCGGCAGACTGTGCCATAAACGGAACGCTTGCTTAGCGGATTAGCTTTGGCAGGTGCCTCGGCCCATGCGTAGCCCAGACTCTCTCCCGCACCGCGTGCCGGGCCTTCACAGAAAGTAAAGAAAGGATGGGATAAAGAGCACCTAAAATCACTTGTCATACTGGCAAATAAATATTTGATCGCCATTTGGGCAGTCTTGGCCCTACATAGAACTTCATGGACGGAAGCTTGGAAGCATTTTGACGGCTTGCAGGAGACAGCGACGTACGCTGCTGCAGTTTTGTAATCCCTTGCCATGCCCCAAGACACTGCCCTCGACAACGGCTCAACTTGCAAGAAAGGTGACTCCCCGCACCCTGCCAGGAGAACTGCGTCCGATGATCTTGCTAGCAAAGGTTTCCTTTCAATATCAACTGGCCTGCACCCGAATCTTCAGCGTGGACGCTCCACTTGGCCTGAGTGGATTGGTGTTGCGAGTCCACGAATTTGTGGGGCTTTGTGTCTCTGTCAAGGTGCTATGCGGTTGCTGAATGAGCTCTGAACACAGTTCAGTAGGCCTTGATGCGTTCGAGTAGCAGCTGCTGCGGAGCCTACATCCTTCCAATCGCAAAGATCGACCTCAAATGCGCATCGCAGGGTGACGGCGGGGACACTCTTCTCCTGGCGAACGGTTTGCTCTTTCGAGGAATTGGCCAGCGTGGTTTCGGAATTGAAGGGTCAAAGGATCTAACAAGCATGAAACCCTCCAGACTCCAATTGGCCCACTGAAATGCCCCATTTGCGACCTTGACAGGATTCACAGCCTGCCAGTTTTAAGGTTGACGCCAATTAGGGCTCAGGGCTGCGGTCCCCACACCTTTTGAGTTCGAGGGCTTCCACCATCTGCATCTGGATGCTTTTTGGGGTTCAGGGCTGCTACACGTGCTTCCGCCTCCCCACTCCTTTTGAGCTTTGGTGAGTTTAGGGCGTTGAGTTTCTATGCAAGTGTGTTTGCTGTTGGATTTCTGAGGGTTTGTCCTCTGAGACTTTATGGCTTCCACGGCAAACTCCTTTCAGGGTTTAGGTCTGCCACCCGCCGCAGTTCGGGCTGCTAGCGCCTTCGCGGTTTGAGGCTTTTTGAGCCTGTACCCTTTTTTGAGTTGGGGCTTCCAGCTTCCACCTCCCCACACCTTCAGCTATGGTTTAATCACGGTTTTGCCGGGTTTGGGGTTTGTCGGTTAGTTTTTGGGGCTAGAGCGTTTTTGTGTGTAGGGGTTTCCAGGCTCAGGAGTTTCAAGGGTTGGGGTCAGTGCGCGGTAAGATAAACCGATTAAAAATACCGATGCTGCCGATACTTGTGCGGAACCTCGTCAGCAACCATGATCCCTCACATTGGCATTGAATGTTGACTACCTACGGAACCTGCCGCCACGAATTCATTCTGTCTGCAGTGTGTTTGATGTAGGGGTCCGCGGATATAGCGAGGAATGTGTAAAGGTTGTATGCAAGGCATGCTCAAAGTGCAAAAATGAGGCCGCAACCCTTCTGTGGCTTGCACCCCAACAGGCCCCAACGGAATAGACATTAAAACGTGTGACTTGATAAGCGCAATGTGAAGTTTGTCAAGAAGGACATCTCGCTGATGCGTTCTGGTTCCGTACAAACTCATCATGGCATTTGATTTTATAGGGGAAACTTCAGCCAGAGCGACAAAGAGACTGAAGACGAATGAGCCCAACGACTGTAGCTGGAAATCTCAGAGAGAAAACAAAAGGAAGCCTTTCCCAACAATCCACGGGTTCCAGGAGTGTTTTTCACTTCTACTCACACATTAATCCAAGACACGCTCTGCTATTACAAGCGAATTCCAGAATGGCCTAGCAATCCGCTTTGTTAAGAACTGTTAATCAGATCGCCTGTAAGTCCAAGGAACGCAGTACTGTTCCCGGGGTTTGAGGTTCTCTTTCCTACTTATAGGTTTAGCGCATTACAGCTTATTTCGGCGTGCTCCCGAATTTCAGCGCACTCCAAACGCACTTGCACACATGGCCAGCGGCCAGCCACAAGTGCATGCCCCAAATCGGCTTGAGAAGGAAAAGCAAGAGGAGCCAAAGACATACACGAATAACCTGTCCATAGGCCCGTGCTGCTGTTTCGTGCTGTGAACTGTTTGCATCCGACAGTTTAGCAGGGGTAGCGGGGTGTTCCATAGCACTCAATTCCGTGGGTCAACAGGGTTTAGCAGGATTCAACAGGTGTAGCGACCGAAAGATTCAACGGGCAGGTATGCCAGAAGGTTTAGCAGAGCATAACCAGTGTCGCGTCCAAGCTGTTCAGCTTAGCCAGTTTGATAGGCCATGCTGCAGTGCGCGTGCAAACCGGGACCAATAACTG